TGACTTGGGACAGGCGCAAAAATGCAGCGGGGTTAAACGTGTTTTGTTAGATCTTTGTGGTATTGACTTCTAAAACTAGCAATTGTTGCTGTCTTTTGAATTTCCCATCATGAAAGGGTAAATAATTAAATTAAATATCCAACTGGGACACCTAAAAACTATTTTTTACATTTCAGGTGAAACGATTTTAAATATCGCAATTGAAATGTACGTTCCACTACCAGCAATACCTTCTAAAGTACTTGTAAACATTTATAATTAGGCTAAGTTGTAAAATTTACAAGTGTTTATCTTCTGTCATCTTGTACATTTATAAATGTGTCTGATGTAAATAAATTATTTATGAATTTGAATTAAAGCACATTCAAATCAAACTGGTTTCGTATTTATTCAAAAATAGTTTTGTAAATTTGTTTAACGGATCTTATAGGCATTATTTCCGACCGGGTCCGATTTGGTGTTGTTACATCTTACACAAGAGTGCACACGCTGAAATGTCTCGCCTTCTTTACTAATCATTGATATTATGTTGATAGTCCTTAATATAAAGCTTTACTACAACTATCACATACACTTAACATGATCCAAGAAAATGAGGTCAAGGTCATATAAACCAAACAAGAAATACATGTACACCTTACAATCATTCAATACACTAAATATAGTTGACCTATTGTTTATAGTTTCTAAGATACAGACTTAACCAAGAAAACTAAACATTGACCAATGAACCAAGAAAATGATGTCAAGGTCAGATGAACAATGCCAGGCAGACATGTACTACAGCTTGCAATCCTTCCATACAACAAATATAGTTGACCTATTGCTTATAGTATTAGAAAAACAGACCAAAACATAAAAACTTAACACTGAGCAATGAACCGTGAAAATGAGGTCAAGGTCAAATAAAACCTGCAAGACTGACAGGTACATCATAAAATATTTCAATACACCAAATATAGATGACCTATTGCATAAAGTATTGGAAAAAAAGACCAAAACTCAAAAACTTAACTTTGACCACTGAACCATGAAAATGAGGTCAAGGTCAGAAGACACCTGCCAGCTAGACATGTACACCTTACAATCATTCCATACACCAAATATAGTAGACCTATGGCATACAGTATAAGAAAAACAGACCAAAACACAAAAACTTAACTATAACCACTGAACCATGAAAATGAGGTCAAGGTCAGATGACACCTGCCAGTTGGACATGTACACCTTACAGTCCTTCCATACACCGAATATACTAGAGCTATTGCTTATAGTATCTCAGATATGGACTTGACCACCAAAACTTAACCTTGTTCACTGATCCATGAAATGAGGTTGAGGTCAAGTGAAAACTGTGTGACGGGCATGAGGACCTTGCAAGGTACGCACATACCAAATATAGTTGAACTATTGCATATAGTATTAGAAAAAAAGACCAAAACTCAAAAACTTAACTTTGACCACTGAACCATGAAAATGAGGTCAAGGTCAGATGACGATGCCCGCTAGACATGTACACCTTACAATCATTCCATACACCAAATATAGTAGACCTATGGCATACAGTATAAGAAAAACAGACTAAAACACAAAAACTTAACTATAACCACTGAACCATGAAAATGAGGTCAAGGTCAGATGACACCTGCCAGTTGGACATGTACACCTTACAGTCCTTCCATACACCGAATATACTAGACCTATTGCTTATAGTATCTGAGATATGGACTTGACCACCAAAACTTAACCTTGTTCACTGATCCATGAAATGAGGTCGAGGTCAAGTGAAAACTGTCTGACGGGCATGAGGACCTTGCAAGGTACGCACATACCAAATATAGTTATCCTATTACTTATAATAAGAGAGAATCTAACATTACAAAAAATCTTAACTTTTTTTTCAAGTAGTCACTGAACCATGAAAATGAGGTCAAGGACATTGGAAATGTGACTGACGGAAACTTCGTAACATGAGGCATCCATATACAAAGTATGAAGCATCCAGACCTTCCACCTTCTAAAATATAAAGCTTTTAAGAAGTTAGCTAACGCCGCCGCCGCCGCCGCCGCCGCCGCCGCCGGATCACTATCCCTATGTCGAGCTTTCTGCGACAAAAGTCGCAGGCTCGACAAAAATCTATCCGAATTATTTTTGCAAAGAATTCCGCTCAAGCCGGTGCTAGGGGCCGTCTTAAAATTGCAGTGAAAAGAGACAGTTTTTTTGCTTCGTGTTGAAGGCCTCACTGGGACTTTGAGATGAAAAACAGCAATACAAGCGCTGTTCCTTTGTTTTTTGTGTGTACTGATTTTGCGTCATGGATACTCCATATCCTTTGTTTTTCTATTAATATATCAAAATAATCCAGCCATCTAGAACGGATATCAGAATATATTAATGTTCAATTGTTATGCAATAGTGTCTAACATGTCGGCAAAATACTATACAATAGTCCCTCGGCTGCATATATTTGGTTTTAAGTCTTTCTCTTTTATTTACAGGGTACTTGCAAAATGCACACTGGGTGATTCGGAGTGAGAGTAAAACGATTTGTATAGTCAATATTTTTGATGCAGAACTAAATATCATAACACCATATTGCTATTCTTTTTTTTTTTACTTTTTAAACTTTAGTTGGAATACCTAGTAGTAGTACCTGTACTAAGTCAGAGCCTTGTCAGTCGCTGTATTGTAATGTTATTCTTAAATTCATTCAAAACTTCTCTAGACTAAGATCGATTTAAACTTGACATCTGGAATGGACTCTTTGTCTATTGTTGAAGATGGTATAACGACCTCTAGATATTTTTGGGGGGATTGGGATTTGTGTTGTGGAAAAGTGGAATTCGGGAGACATCTACAGACCCAGAAAACACTATTTCTATTACAGAACCGAACTGCAGAAACAATTTGGTGGTTAATGCCTAAAACTGCAGCGTGTGAAATTAAACAGTTCATTTAGTATTCAAAGAACATGTTTATATATCTGTATTCATGTTTATAAATCTGTATTACTTGTAGATGCAAGTGTTTCCTTACGATGACGCAACATTTTATATGTTACTTACTCTCCCGACATGGTTACGTAATGCATATATATGTATGAGGATTCAAAATTCAGATTATGGTCGGGAGTATGCAAAAGAACAATAAAACCCTATGAGATGTATTATAACATTAGTGATTGAAGATTAACTGAACATCTGTTTCTCAAGGGCTTTATTAAGAAAGCGCATGATACAATTTTGTAGACTAATTTTTTCCTTCTTTTACTATTCATTTTTTTTCTTCCTATCAGAACGTGACCCAGCTTAATCATTTTATTTCAATATTAAACAAAGTCTTAATGATTTATTTTCATAAAATTTGAAAGTAATGAACACATCTGGATACCAACATTGTAAAAGTAGATACGTAGTATAATTTGTAAATATGCATGTACAAAAAATATATATGTATAATGAGTAATTGAGGTCACAGGCACATGAGTATGACCTCCCCCTTTTTTCAGTTGCAGTTTTGAATAAAGTTTCTGTACCATTAAAACTGTTTCTAATTTTATGGTTTTTATTTATACATGTACCTCTACATTATTAAATTACCAAAAGTACATGTACTTATACATCATGTACATACATATATGTATGTATATAATATACATGTATGTGTCATCCCTCTTGCATGTAATTATTTTCCACAGTGTGCAATTTCTCAAACTTGAAACTACATGAATGCATGTGGATTGAATCAAAACATGTTTTTTTTAAACTTGTTGTAATGTCTACATTATATGCAATGACACACCCATTCTGTGTTCTCTTCAGCAATTAACAAAAGTATCTTAACAAACAGGGGTTTTGAAATCAATGTATCGTATCACTAATTATCTAACAATAACTGCTTCAAGGTAAACAATATTTCATAAAACAACCTTCATTGACCTTAGAGAAATTCAGGATAATAATACTTTGAATTAATGATATACAATGTATCAGACTAAGATAATATGTTAAGAAAAATTCAGTTTATAACTAGACATTATCTCCTTATTTTTGTATAGCAAATTATCTTCAGTGTAGTCTGTGTCTTGAGACAAGTTTTTGTCAATATAAATTACTTGAAGACATGTCTGAAAACAAAATATTGTCTCCAGATCTAAAAGATACTGAAGATCATTTTCTATATATAGTAACTTTATGGCAAGCCTTTTCACTATTTATTCTAACTTCAAGATATCTAATAAACTTTACAACATATCTCATATAGTTTATTAGATATCTCATATAATTTATAAGATATCTCATATAATTTTCTTTATAAGATCTTTATAAGATATATTATAAATTATATAAGATATCTTATAAACAATATGAGATATCTTATAAAGTATACAAGATATCTTATATAAATTTTTTTTTATAAAATATCTTATATACTTTATAAGATATCTTATAAACTTTAGAAGATATCTTTTAAAGTGTATAAGATATCTTATATACGATATGTTATATAATATATAAGATATCTTATAAAAACTAGATTATATAAGATATCTTATATATTATATGAGATATCTTATATATTATATGAGATATCTCATAAAGTTTATAAGATATCTTATATAGTTTATAAATTATCTCAAAAAGTTTATAAGATATTTTATATAGTTTATAAGATATCTTACAAGATATCTTATATAGTTTATAAGATATCATATATAGTTTATAAGATAATTTTCTTTATAAGATATCTTATAAATTATATGAGATATCTTATAAGCTTTATGAGGTATCTTATAAACTATATAAGATATCTTATATACTTTATAAGATATCTCACAAAGTATATACATATATTGTAAGATATCTTATAAAAACTAGATTATATCTCTTATATATTATATGAGATATCTCAAAGTTAGAATAAATAGTAAAAAGGCTTGCCATATAGCTGGGTTCAAAAGATAATGCCAAAAGGACTAGACAAAAATGAAATAATGTAATGGAATAGTATGATTAATTTAATAAGTCATACATGTACATGGACAAACATGACAAAAAACAAAAGAAAGTCCAAAATGCTCATTTAAATGCAGGTCTTAGCTTATTTAGTTTACTTTAGGTTGGTGGTTCTCTATGTGGACTCCAGTGGCGGATCTAGAAATTTTCATAAGAGGGGGCCCACTGACTGCTTAAGAGGGGCCCACTCCAGTCATGCTTCAGTGATTCCTTATATAATCAACCAAATTTTTTCAACAAAAGGGGGGGGGGGGCGGGCCCCCTGAAAAACCCTCTAAATCCGCCTCTGGACTCTGGCTTCCTCCGTCAATAAATAAAACTAGCTGCCACTATATAGTCAACAGTACTGAAAGCAGCATTAAACACCAACAATCAATCAATCAATTACCCTGATCAATAAACAAAGCCATACATTTTAGATAAAACTATTATATAGCCACAGCTTACATGTACATGTACATTATTGTAACTTAACTTTACCAAATGCAAAGCCTCCATACATGTACATGTATAAACCCTGTGACCGTAACAGAAAATTACCCAACACCCAGGAAACCTTATCCAAACCCTAAAGGCCTAAACCCACATGTTTGTAAATGATACACATGATACATTAAACTAAAAAAACAACTTAAGAGTTATGTCTGACACTGTTTAGACCTTCTAATTGAAAGTACAAAATGTAACAGGATATTCAAAAGGCCCGGAAGGGTTTTGTTATTTTCTTTTGGTGCATGTTGTGTCTGTTGTCAGTAAAACAAAAATACTGTGGAGATATGTTTTGTTTGCTGTCCCTCCTCAAATTTTCAAGCCTACCCCATCCATTCAAGTCAACAACATTTTCCTACACAGTGACACAGTCTACATGGACGACATTTAAATTCTTTTTACATACATGTACATGTACCCTATTTTTTCTGCATGGATACTGGAAACAGTTTTTTTGGCCTACGTTTTCCTGTGGTAACAGTTTTTTTGGCTTAAGTTTTCCTGTGGTTACTGGAGATCAAACTGTTTGTGAACACTGAAGGGTAAGGATTGCTTTTATTTTGCAATATGAATTTAAAATAGAACATCGAATTGTTTTAGGTACAACATGTACAATGCAGGCAATTTATATATAAATTATATTTGTGTTGGAGTCAAGGTTGGCAAAAAAGCGGTCAATACTAGTATTGACCATGCCGGCGGTAAATACAAAGTTTTCTCTATAAATTTGGTTATTCAAATATACATTATATTCATTGTAAATATCTGAGTATAACATATATATATATCATTAATAAATTGAATGACATTGACTGGATAAGATCTAAAGAATTTTCTCCTCACTGTACTAAATGTATTTTGTTTTAACTATCAAAGCAAGTGATAAACCCTGGAAGATATATCAAGCCATGCCAATAGCAAAAGGGGTTTGGTTGCATTTCATGCAATCTTTATCCCCAAAAACTAAAAAAATATATTATATTTGTTTTTGTTTTTTGTCACAAACTGAATATGTTTATATGACAATAAAGATATAAATATTAATACTAAAATATAATATATTTACTGTTATTTACATGTTTTTATGATTTCTCATTAATAAACACCACTGCAGTCACTGTGCTGAATCCAAGAATTAAAAATACTACCTTGATTAGTCTAATATCACTGGAATTTAGTTCATGTGGCAAAATTTCAAAAAAAGTTACATACAGAAAAGTACCACATGCAATCCCTTGCAACAATCCTTGAATTAATACAGATATCCTTGAATCCCACAAGTCTATGATCAGTAAGCCCAGAGCGATACCAAATGGTGAAGACAAAGAAAATATTGTAACAGATTGCAACATTGATTTATATGATAGTTTGCTTTGAACCAAGCTCATTCCCAGACTGAAGCTAAGCACCATCTTGTGTAGAAAAAGTCCAGCAAATACTCCAAGGACTTGAGCAGATTTTCTTTGCAATCCTACTGCAAGTCCTTCGAAAACAGAGTGTAAAGACAAAGCTATTAGCAATAAAATAGAACGTAGAGTAGAATGGTTGTGTTCAAATTGGTTTTTGTTCCCTTTTTCAGTCCTTTGTTTAGAATAAAGTGGTTCCTGTTCTGTGTCGCTATAAACATCCCCCGAAACATGTACGTGAGAACAAGTTGACAGTTCCTTGTGTCCATAAGGTTCATCGCTAATTCCACCAATTGAATGTTCACTTAGATCAGATCGTGTAGAGCTCATAAAATCTCTGTCATCTGTATCAGACAGCAATGATTTTCGACTATTGTCCTTACCAGTTGTTAGAAATGACGAATTTTGCTGATTTTCTTTCCAAGAAAGAATGATTTGTTCAACAACTAGAATTAAGAACAACCCAAATACCATTACGAATTCGGACACAGGAAATCCAGATAAAAGATGCAATTTTCTGAGTATAGTTTCTAGGTCCCTCCTGACACTCGGGAGTAAATCCAGTAAACATGTTCCAAGAAACACACCTGCCGCATAACAACTCAAAATACTTATTGCCCGTCTGTATCGTATTCTATTGGAATTTTTCTTCTTGATGTATGCGACTAATTTTATTGGGAAAAATCCCAAAAGTAATGTGGTAATGAACAGTCCAAAAATAATTATCACTTTCAAAGTGGTAAGCTCCATGGTGTCACTTAAGTTGTACTTGTAATTTGTTCATGATCATGAATTAATGTTGTTGTTGATGTGTACAAATGTAAGTCATGTGACTTGGATGTATACTAAACAATGGACCATTTACCGGTAAAAAGTATGAACAAATCCGATTGAAAACTTTTCTTAGATGTTTTCTTTCTATAATAAAAAAAAAACAAAATAATGTTTTCGTCCTAGAATAGAAGTTTTGCTGTATATTTCTCAAATAATATAATATTATGAACTTATAAATCAAACGATTTTCATCAGCAATGCTTTTTAGATCCATTTTATATATTTATTTTTCAAGTTTAAATTTTTGCCGCATTCTTTTAAATATGTAAATTGTAGTTGCGAAAAAAATCGAAATGCATACCAGCCTTTGATTGTAACAACTACCCAGGGCTTATCATCCAGGGTTTGAAAAAGGGGTATGTATAAAACATATCGGACTCAGAGGCGGATTTAGGGGTGCCGGGGTGCCCGATTTCCACTTATGGGGCTACATATATGATTAATCCAGACTTTTTACCTATACCACTCCAAATTTTGTCTAGTTTGAGGCCCGCGGGTCCCCCTTTTTCAGAATCCTGGATCCGCATCCGGGACTGTTATTACAATATCACATCCAGTACGCCTGGAGTCGATTTCACAAACAAACTTACGATTAAGATTGGTCGTAAGTATACTGAATTGTTCATGACTTACGATTAATCTTAGTCGTAAGTTCTTTTGTGAAACAGACTGCTGAATTTTTAAATTTGTTTTCCGAACATGTCTACTAATCTCGGTGGTCTAAGTAGTTAATCTACTGTATCACTTGCCTGTCAACACTGAGGTTATAAGTTGGAACTCGGCACGTGGCAGATGTGTTCCACTGTAATCCTAATTGACTAGGATTGTCAGTTTTTCCTGCCGAAGGTTGGTGGTTCTCTCCGGGGACTCCGGCTTCTTTCGCCAATAAAAACGGACCGCCACTGTATTATATAGGTAACCATCAATAAGACAGCAATGAATCTAATGAATGTATCAAGAAGACTAACAGAAATTTAAATTAATACATGTACCTTCTTTTTGTACTATGACACACTTTAACAATAATTTATTTTTGGACAACAATTAACCATTTAGTCTGTCTTCCACTTAAAAAAAAGTAATATTATATCGTAATGTTGTCAATTTATACAAACAATTACTATTTTATATTTTAAACATCAAGATGCTTGTTACATTCACGACTGCTTCCTAAATTTAGAGGCTATATAATTACACCCCAGTTCTATTGTTATACTTCATAGTTTCTATTTCTGAAACAAGTGTAAATTGAATAGATCTATTGTTACGAATAACAATGGATTTTGACCACAGGGTGTGACGAGCGGGGTTTCTGGAAACCCCTGCTTCTACATCCCGCAAACATAGTCCATTGTTAATCGTAACAATAGAAATTGATTATTTTTTAAATAGCATGAATATAAGAAATTACTAATAGTGTTCACTACAAATTGTTTCATGATATTAAAAAACACATTTTAGGAAATTCCAATAAGCATCTATATGGAATACAAAAATAATCCTTTAAATACTCTTTTGCTTGAAGGTATTTTTTTTTTATCCCAGTCATATGTCTCTATTCTAAAGCATTGATCTTTAAAAAAAAATGGGGATTCTAATTCCCGGACCCCCCCCCCCTCCCCGGATACCCAGTGGCCGATCTGGGGTTGGGCGTTCCGCGGGTTGGACCCCTCCCCCCTTTTTCTCTTGAGTTGGGAACCCCCGGCTGGATCAGCCCCTGATTGCCCCCCCAAAAAAGGGAGTTCCTCAATATTAAATATTGTATGTTGAGCGTGTCTGGTAGTCGGGTTTCTAATGCAGACACACCTATCCCTTAGTATGTTCGAATATGAATGTTTGTTTATTGTCGAGAAGGGGGGGGGGGGGGGTTGTTTTTGATAAAATCGTAAGATATAAAATACAGTTATGATTACCTTTATTAAACTGATTCAGGTAAGTACTTTGGGTTATAATATTGCCTTTATCTTTAGTCTCTTCTATACCAAATCCAACGCTTGCCACAAAATGTCGTCCGTCTTATACCCGTCCATATTGACAACTGTATACTAGGAGCATGATGTATTTTTTGTTTGTAATAAGAATACACGAAACAGTCGACCTTGACCTGCTGATCCGAATTAGCACATGGATTTAACGGGAATATGCAAAACAGCAACTTTGACATTTGTAAAATATACTCACTTGTCAAAGTTTGAACGAAGATAACCAAAGAAAGGTTACTAGTGGGGTTTCATGTAATAAAACAAATATTCTTATAAATCATGGTTTGATATTGTCAATAAATATGCTATCGTTTTTTTTTTCATTTAATAATCAATGTTAACAAATATAGGGGTTAGAATGGGGTGTAAGTTAGTTATACACCTCGGGATACGGCGTGTCTGGATAAGAAACCCCTCCGGCCTCTTTAAAAAGAAAACTGACTTTAAGCAAGGCAGTTCTAAAATATCGAAATCAAAGAGCAAATTGCACAAAACACACAGCTAAATACTTTCGAATGTTGTATGTGCTGCATTGAGATGTTGAAGATGGATTTACAAAAATTAACTCTCAATTCTGCATCTTAATGGACGGAAGGATTGAGTTACATTTGACAGACAATATTTCGATTAACAATGTTTGTGAAAAAACCTGCAGAATTAACAGTTTATCAACACTATTTTTAATACGATTACTATTACAAGTAAAACTTTCTTTTACAGCCATATACACAAAAGATCGAAATACTGTGAAATTAAGGAGTCTAAACATACATGTCCCTAGGAAAATTCAGGCGTTTTGAAAATGATCAAGGTAGCTAAATAGATAAATAGACATCTATTTTAAATTTATTACAACAGCGAACATGTATAGATCATAAACATAAGAAAGAATAATTTAATAACTATGAACATGCTTTCAATAACTACGACCATGAATGAAACATTTGCATTGTGGCCTGTCTAGGCTTAACACAACTGTGTTCGTTGTTTTTAATTGAGTACCGACAAAACGAATTAAACACTGTACAGGTTTGTAATATAATATGTCCATAATCTTTCCAGCTGTTATTGTAAATATAAAAATAAGAAGATGTGGTGTAATTGCCAATGAGACAACTATTGAACTATCCACCAGAGACCAAATGACATAGAAGTTTACAGTAATGTAAGTTTTTGAATAAGTGATGTACTGTTACACCACTGTCCGAGGTTAGGGGAGGGTTGGTGCCTTCAAACATGTTTAACCCCGTCACATTCTGTATGTGCCTGTCCAAAGTTAGGAGCCTATAGTTCAGTGGTTGTCGTTGGTTCATGTCTGTCATATTTGTATTACTTAAACAGTTTGTTATAAAATAGCCTATGAATTAGTTTTCTCAATTGAATTGTTTCATATTTTTTCAGGTCGGGAGCTTAAATAGCCGACTATACGTAATTGGTTTTTCTTATTATTGAAGGTCGTACGATTGCCTATAATTGCTTAATCCACTTCATTTGAACTTTGGAAGATAGTTGTCTCATTGGCAATCATACCACATCTCCTTATTTTTATAATGTGTTCGTAATAGACAGTTATGAAAAAAAAGAATTAACATTAACTGTTAACTAGAAGCTAAGAATATGTTTCTAAAAATGGTTGAAAAAAAAATTCTAGTGATATTTGTAGAAGCCATGTCCCTAAATATAGGTCTTCCTCTTCATAGATGATAATATGAATTGGTTGTTTAACGTCCATTGGCATATATTTCATTCTTACCAGGACGAGAATATTTATGAATTTGAAACCTGCTTTAAACGAAATCGACTTGCTGATGTGAATTTTTGATATTCTTGTTCAGAAGCTTACAGTGCTCGGGAACCGAAGACATATCATCCTATCCAAACACATGTTATTCTGAGTAAACCAGTCTTTGCTTTTACTCCTACATGCCATGTAGTTAGCAGAGAAGCAGCAAATACCAATTTTCAAGTGTTTGGCAAGACTTTGCTAGGGATCGAACCTACAACTTCCGCACTCAAAACGAGCAGGCTACCACAAGACCACCTAGTACTTAATAATCATAATTCCGTGGCAATAACTATATTGTAAGTGCAGATTTTAAGTAGTCTGTGAACCCCTTCATAACTTCTTGACTTTGGACGACTAAGAGCTTGACAAATCGTACATACAATAGTATATAACTGTTACTACCATGTTTTGTTTTATGAACAAAAGTAGTTGAAGCCAACTTGAAGGAATACATCAATAGACAGAAACCCAATGACATTAATATGTAAATTTACTTTCTTCAACAATAGACAATAAAGTCTAATAAAACTTGTGAATAATGTAACAGATACTTTTATCACAACTTTCATAACTACTGAGGAATTCCCGACTTGGAACACACACATGAATATTTAGAGAGGTAAAGCAAGTTTTTGGAGATCTCAAACCCACACCCTATTACCGGCTATCATTACAGTAGATGCAACATGTAACACAGATCAAAATATGCTTAACTTGATTGTATAATTCATTGTACGTGGTTGTGGATGGGGATTTGCAGAATAAAGAATACTGGGCAAAAAATATAAAGAATAGAGAAAAATGGAGCAAAAAAATAAAGAATAGAGAATAATGGACAAACAGTATAAAGGAAAGAGAAACATTCGTAAGGGTTCCGCGGAACCCAGTGTCTCGCCTACTTTTGCTGTTAGTCGTAGGCTCAACAAAAATGGGAAACAAATTATTAAAACTTTTCCTCTAGATGCTATCTTTTGATTGTGAGAAGCTTCTTTCCAAGTTTGGTAAAAATCCAGGATGGTTTATGAATCTAATAAATGTTTTAAAAACTTTAACTGCAGACTGTATATAATGTTAACTGGAAGAAAAACTAAGTCCATTTATAAGTAATATACGGGAAAACAGGAAATAAATTTTTACAAAATTTCCTTCTAGATACTTGCTTTTGATCATAAACAAGCCTCTGTCCAAGTTTGGTACAAATCCAGGATAGTTTAAGAAAGTTATTAAAATTTT